GATGGAGGAAGTAGGTGACTTCTAACGTGCAGGTTAAAGAGAGTTTAGGATGTAGCTATCTCGCGACGCGGAGCCCACCATGCTCGAGGACAATGCATTACAACGCAGTTGTTGGGGGTGTGTGCTGAGGGCCCGCCGCCGCCATCCATCAACTGGTTGGCAACTCGTCAAACGAAATGTTCGCCGTGGAAATTTCCTCGGGCCATCGTGCCTTGAAGTCGAACGGTATCGAACGGTGGACTCAACCGTCGAGCCAATCTCTCCTGCTGCGGCCGCGGACGAGGATGGCACGGCCCCAAGCGCACGAGCTGCGACGTGTAAAGCCTATCGGTTATCCTTGGCCGTGAGGCCATGGTAGAGGGGGCCCAGGTGAAGCAATGTGCGGCTGGCACGCCCACACACTGCCCACAGGGGGACAGGTTGGACTGTACACACGTGTTCAGCAACTGCGCGGACGGCGTCCCTTGGAAGCAACTTGATGGATCGGCCGCGTGCAAGGTCGCTGATGCAGCGCAGCCGTTGGGGTTCGAACGGCAGTCGCGAGGCCAACTTGTACGCCGTGGACGAGAGCGGCGACGTCCCCATCAAGCGACAGAAGGCTAGCGGCCTGCCGCCCGCGTCGACCCGAGCGCCATGCCAGGCGAGCCCCCAGGGCAATTTCCGCCGCATCATGAATAAATACATGCATTATTAAATAAAAACGTGCTATCCTGCGCTTGGCGCATGCGCCACCAGATATTCGCCATACCGACACAGCCCCTTGCCGTGCGGCCTTGGATAGCTAGGCAATCGCTTCACGATGTTCACAAATCAGTTCGCGATGGCGGGAAGGTTCCTGCGGCGCCATGGATGCCGCGCCGCTTTGTCGCCGCTCGTTCGCTCGAAACACGTCCAGGAACGCTTCGATCCACTCGTGCATATCTCGCTCACATGCCGCGGCCATGACAAACTGCCGCGTTGGCGTCGTGATCCGAAGCCGCCACTCCGATGCGGCTGAGTGGCCTGTTTTGACGCAGTCGTGGGGCATGATTTCGAGCGCGGCGGCATCCAGGACGTCGGTCAGGTCGACGCTGCCTTTTAACCGACCGTCCTGGTGGGTATAGTACAAGAGCGCGTTGAGTGTGAGAACCAAGTACCGCGGCTTCCAATTGTGCCGATGGACGAGGAACCCCGCGCCAGATCCTTTCTTGAACGCTGTGCCAGCCTTGACGATGCTGGACGACCGTGCGCCCGGGCTCAACAAACAAGGCGGTCGGCGCGCGGGCGAGTGCATTGGGGAATGAAAGCCACGACCAGCTCATGCGGGAGTGAGTGACCGATCGAGGCAGCGTGCGCGACCCTGCACACCAGCACGTGCACAGAGGTATTCGGTCAAAGTGGGAGACCGCAGTTTATGTTTATCTTGGTTAAAGTATGATGGTCAACAACCTCGCGCGTGACTTCGAGTAAGTTTATCTTGGTTAAAGTATGATGGTCAAACACCATCGCACGTGTCGTCGAGTTGTCATCGGTTGACGCGCCATGCGATCGACGTGTGTATGGCGGCCCAGGGGGCGAGCCGCGAGCGACGGCCTTATCAAGCTAGCACTGCATCGTGGTACCAGCAATGCCTCGCAGACGTCGGCGGTCGAGCCCGTTGGAGCGGCATCGATAAGTAGACGTGTTAGCGCCAGCAACTCCACGAAACATCGCACGCACTGCCTCTACCGCATCAGAACGCGCTCGGCTCCCACTAGCATGGGCGAGCGACCGGTCGGTGCGCTCGTGCAAGGGGCATCCAGACCAAAACGCCACGGGTGGCGCGGTTAGTCACGATGAAAAGCGCCGGCGCTGGCCATGTCGACATCACTCGCCAATGCCGTCGGAGGGGTGCTTGACGAACGGAGATAAGATCGCTGCTTGGACCAATTCCATAGGACCTTTCCATACAAGCTGTTCGACGGAGCCGCGGCGCACAACGCAGATCCAAGGAGCAGCGCCCCACAATGAGAGACACTTGATTTCGTTATCTCGATGCACCGACACACCACTGGTTTCAACGCTACACGATCGACGATCGCCGGCCGCGCGGCGCTACCGGAACGACTCCCTGCTGCACGAAACGCCCTTCGTTCGACTTGAACAGGGTCAAGAGCGCAAACGCCCATGCGTGCATGGCGTGTTCGGACGGAGCGGCCACGACCAGCCGTCGCGACGGCGTTTGAATCGCCAGGCGCCACTTGGACGCGCCAAAGTCGACCACCGACGGCGGCACGATCTCCAAATGGGATGGCATACAGTACCTGACGTCGACCGTGCCTTTGAGTTCGCCGCCTTCCGAGCTGTAGTACGTGAGGGATTCCGGCGTGAGCGTCATGTAGCGCAGCTTCCAGTTGCGCACGACGCGGCCCTGCTTGTACAGGACACCGCTGTGCAACACGGCCGACACGTCCTGGCATGCTCGGACGCTCATGAGCGACATGCTGTGCCGTTCGAAGGCGCTCATGTCTCGTAGCTAAATGGCCACACGGGCCGCGACGCACGCTGTAGACGTTCAGTACGACTGGAGACACCCAACGAGATGTCGTTGGTCGCGCTGGCGCTGACCACACATGTCCATAATGCCCAATCACGCGTCGGGGACGCGCGCCTCGCCGCGGTACACACACGGCGCCAAGATCTTGCGTAGAAAAGAATGAGCCGACGGCGATGGGCATGCCGGTAGCCCCGTTCGAGAACACGTGGCCGAAAATAAAACACAAATTCGCCTCGGCTGTCGAGACCCACCCACCATGGCGCACGACACTCGTGGCTTTTTTGCCTCCTTCTCACAGCAAACGATGGTTGGGTCGACGCTGCACGTACAGCTCGGGATGTCAAGGGGCTTTCGGTCGTCGGGGGCAGTTGCCCCGGGTCTCTCGGCGTGGTGGGTCGATGGCATGGCGCACAGAGTGCACTCGAGGGTGTGCTTGAGCCATCCGCCAAACGTCGCCGCGACAGCAGGACTCGTCATGCCGCCCAAGGCTTGGGGTTTGGTCAAGGGGGGGTCGTCGAGGACATTGAGCGCAGACAGACCCGGCCACCACCACGTTTGAATCCCGCGACCTGGACGAGACGAATGTGAGGAGGAGTGGGGTGTTGGCAGCCACTGCGAAATTCGGCGCTGAAAACGGTTGAAACTTGTCCGCAATCGATCCGAGTCCGGCAACGTTTCCGACGACCGCCATCCACGTGCGAAACATGACATAACACTGCATACACAAGTGGCACCGTCGATCTGGCCGTTGTTCGATCCGTCCCCAACAATGCTTCGCCCCGGCCAAGGCACGAGGAGCAAGGTTCGGGTACATAGTTTGTACCAGCCACGATGGATGCCTGACGGGGGTTGCAAAGGCATGCATTCCCTGGCGGGTATTGCCAGTAGGAGCCACTAAGTGGTCAGGGGGCGGTCGCCGTGAGAATGGTTTGGCATGCCCACCACCACCACACCCACGTGTGCCATCATCATACGTACATGAAATCCAGCAAAACCACATCTCGGGCGCCCCAATGTACAAATTGCGCCATGCCATGCCAAGGAACACCCACCGTCGTGGTCAAGGAAAGGTCGCTTTTCAAGAAAGGTGCAGACGGCGGCCTCCTTCACCGACGCAACTGGAAGCGCATGATACGTTAAACTGACCAACAACGAACTCGTGTACTTTGACCCGGCAAACGGCCAGCGCCAGGGGTCGCTCAACCTGTCGGCATGCAGCCGCGTCGCGGCGCTGGACACAAACCCGCCGGACTGCATCACGACGGCAGTGGCGATTTGCCGCCCACACGCTGACGCAAACACTTGTGTGCTGGCTGCCAGTTCAAAGCACGACATGACCGCCTGGATCACTGCCTTCCGAGCAGTGTTCGATGCCAACGCATTCAAAGCAGCGCATATTCAACTGCGTCTGCCAGGCCCGCAAGTAAACTAATCATGACATATTCGTTCACATGCGTCCCTCTCGCCGCCCGTCATGCCATCGTCGACGCAACCACGTCGCCCAGGGCGGCCACCTTGGTAGGATGTGGCGCATTCAGCGCAGACCACAGGCGCAGCGCACGGACGGAATACACACATGTTTCGTGCCAACGTCCATACCACAACGGCAGCACGCGGCGGTGGCTGTGCCGTCCACCCCGGTTCACGGCCTTTCTGGGGCACGTGTGCCTTTTTGTAACATGTAACCGAATCGGTTACACTTGGCATTCGCGAAAACGGAAACGCCGATGCGTCTGCGCCGCGGCACTGTTGCCATGCGATGGGTGGGTTTCATGGCCGTCGTGCCTGCTTCGATCCGTGCCATGTGCTCGAATGCGTGTTCCGGGCATGGCTTTTGCAATGCGTTCAACGTGTGCCAGTGCACGTCGGGGTTCACAGGAGGCGACTGCTCTCTTCGTACGTTCGACCGTCAGCAACATGTATGCGTGTGCCTGAAGTCGGGCTTGGTAGGGACCTGTCCCGTCGGGAAAGCGTGGGGCGTGATAACAGCCACCGACACCGCGCACCAAGTACGTCTACGTCGCGATCACAAGACACATCTGACTGGCTGCCGTAGCCCGCCGAATGCTCTGGTCGCGGGAATTGTGTTTCGTCGTCTGGTACATGCAGTTGCCAGAACGGGTTCGAAGGCAGCGCGTGCCAACATGGTACGTCCATTCATGTCGATTTTCCCAGTGGTGGAGCTGGCTCAACCAAAACGTTGGCTCGGGTAGTCATCTGCCTCGAAAGCTGCTCATCTCGTGGACGCTGCATCACGATGGAGCAACTGGCGGGCGATGCCTTGACGGCGCTGAACGCGCTCGACAAGCCCCCGTTCGAGTACTCTCCATACGCCATGTGGGACGCCGACATGCTGCGCGGTTGCATGTGCGACGATGGCTATGGGGGCTACAACTGCCTCGTCGGTGCGTGCCCGTCTCGGTATGCTCCCCGTCCCCCGTTTGACGCGATTTGGGTTGTGTCGAAGAACGGTGCTCGGGCGGGGACGATCCGCTGACGACGGGGCAGACGGAAGAGATCCAACTCGTGTCGTGCGCAGCGTCGTACTTGCAACACACGATAACGTTCAACTACGACACCACACCGACTTCCGGTAACTCCCCCCTCCCACGTCGTCGTTGAAGCGCCTGATGGGGTGGACGGGGCTTGTGCAGGGACGTTCGTGCTCGAGTTTGGGCGGCTGCGAACGAGCCCGATCAGTGTCCACGCGGCGGCGGCGAATGCCCTTGGGACGTCCATGACGGAAATGCTCCAAACGTTGCCGACGATTCCAGCGGTACGACACCGCATGTGGAGCGTTGGGTGACGGGGATGTCGTGGCCAGGTGACTGTCGTGCGGCGGACGACGGCGTTTGCCACGTTCTGGGACGTGACGTTTGCTCCGTCGAGCGTCGAGCAGCACAGCTTTCAGCCGCGATGGAGGTACGACTTCCGTGCTGTGTATAGCTAACGGTGGCGCAGAGCGGTCGAAGTCCAATCGTTCTTTTGCGCGGCCGACTCGGGATTCCTTACCCTCGCGTACAACAAGTTTCTGTTTGGCAATATCCCGTCGACCGCGCTGGCATCCGATTTGAAGCTGCGACTCGAGTCCAACCCCAAGCTCGCAGTAGTCGACGTCACGTACAGCTCAGGCACGACGCTGTGCCGAGCGACCGGCAATCAGGTCGGTGGGCGTAGCTGTTGGACGGCTGGGAGGCGACCTCACAGCCATGGCACCTTCCCTGTGCCATGCATTGTTCAAGTTGCGGTGGATAGATCACGATTGCGTTCCAACTGATGCGAGACCGCGACGTCGTCGGTGACGTTCCCGAGCTTGTCATCGACGCGACCAACCAAGGCCAGCGCAATGGCCTGTTCCTTGGCGGGTTGCCTCCCGTACGGCGCCGTCCAGATCCCTCACACAGGATGATCGGTGGCACCTCATCACGTGCATGCAGACTGTCGACGCCGTGGCGACCGAACTCGTCAAGGGCATTGATACGTGTCACCGAGTCGAAGTCCAGCGCCTCGTGTGCTGTGCCACGTCGGGCTTTTTCAGCCTCACGTTTGAGGGTATCGTCCTGCCGCATGGACCATGTCGTTGACGGGCATGGCCAGGACGAACCGTGTCGAATCTGCCGTTTACGATAGCAGCCGCCGACTTGCGATCGAGTTTGCTCGCGAGTTTTCCGACTCTTGTCGACATTGACGTGCGCACTGCCGTCGACGGCGCAAGACGCTCAAGGTCGTTGGTGCGTAGGTCACGTACTCGGTGGGGTCGACGACGGCGTGTGATGCGGTCGGGTCTGGCACGGCCATTACGATTGCATTTGTTGTGGTCTCGACCAACGGGTAACCCCGACACACGACGACGCAGTCCTCATGCCTTGGGGCAGGCCCAGCGGGAACGGCGACTTGGCCGCGATCACGGCCGATCGCACCAACGGAGGCACTTCCGGTACCTTCGCGCCTGGTGACGCGTGTCGACGACTCGGGGTGTTTGTTGTAGGGCTTGTCCATGCATCGCCAAATCTGCTCCAGCTCACGGCAACGGCGGTCGAAGTTGTTAAGGGCGCGCGATGTGTGCCGCTCAGCTCGACGTTTGTCGCGGCCCCCACGCGGCAGATCACGGCCACGGTGGTGCAGGGGGGAGGCGAATTCAGTTTGGGCTTTCGCGGCCAAAGCACCGGCCCGATCCCGGCCACGGCCAGTCCAGCGCAAGTCGCGGCGGCGTTGACGGTACTGCTCCCACGAGCCCCCCACACCATTATACGTCGCGACGGTTGTGGTTGTGCGCTTAGAGACTCCCTGCCATCACTGGCATCGACGTGGCGTTTACAACTGGCGAAGCATGCGCGACGCCGGCCAACGTGATGCAGCTTACGTTCACGCAGGAGTTTGGCAAGTAAGGACGTGGATCGTGATGTTGTTGTAGCTCGTCCTCTCGATCTGACGGGCGTTGCAGCGTCCCGACCATGACGGCCGATGCTCGTGGGTCCCCCGCCGTTGTTCAAGTGTTTGCCAGTGGCGCAGTCGACCCCGCGACGTCCCTGGCGTCCGTGGACGGAACGAAAGAAATGATCGAGTGTTCCGGTCGGGGGACATGCGACTATAGCAAGGGCGGCGCGTGCAAATGCTACACCGGGTACGCTCCGATCGCGTGTGTGGTCGGGCGCTCAACTGGCGTGGCTGTGTTGTAGGTACATTGCGAGCAACGGGCGCGGCCAGCCTGCCACGTCATTGATTCGACGAGATGACTGCGGCGCCATGGCCATCACGATCGCGAGCTGTCCGGGCGATATCCCTTGCAGGTGCGTATTGCGCCGCCCGGCTCGCGCTCGTTCACCTGCTCGATCGGTGTAGCGGTCATGGCACGTGCTCCAACGAACCCATGTTCAAGTGCACGTGTGCGGTCGGGTGGCGCAATGGCGACTGCTCCGAACGTACGATCCACCTCGCATCTCCTCTTTGTCCCCCGTCGCGTCCTGTCCATCCATTGTGTTTGTGTGGCTCAACAACATTCGTGTGGTTGCAGGCGTGTGCCCGTTTGGGCTGTCGTGGTTTTCATACCCGGCTGACCATAACGTCGCCCACCGCGACTTTGCCGAGTGTTCGAACGTCGGCTTGTGCGACCGGACGACCGCGCTGTGCCAGTGCTCGGCGCCGTATGTAGGGCCGGCGTGCAACTTGAGTAAAGCCGCCGCAGTTGCTGGTCGTCGCGTTCCTAACCCGTTGTGCCTTGTATGGTTTTGGATGCAGTGGGGTGCGGTGGCAGCGGGGCCGAGTGTTCGGGCCACGGGCGATGCATGACGTTGCGCCAGCTCGCCCCAGAAGTGCGCGTAAACGGCGTTGTTGCCGGCTTTACGTTTGGCGACGACCCCAACAACCCGTGGACGTGGGAAGCGGACAAGATTCAGTCGTGTCTGTGCGACCCGCCATTCGTCGGCTACGATTGCTCCCTCGGTACGTGCGTCCCGTCGAAAGATGACCAGTCGCTCGACTGCCTCTCTTGCAGTCGACTGCCCCCATGGCGACGACCCCAACACGTACTTGGATGTCCAAGAAATCCAGCACGTGCACTGCGTTGCCACGGGAGGCTCGTTCACCCTCACGTTTCGAGAACAAACCACGTCGCCGATTGCGTGGGACGCCAGCGCTGCCGCAGGTACGTCGACGGATCACTTGTTTGGCGACCTGCATTGAACCTGGCGCGTCGGTGGACACAGTCCAAGAGGCGCTCGATGCGCTCTCGACCATCGAAAGCGTGGTCATTGCATTCAGCGGGTCCAACACCGCCGTGTGCACACCCGGAGGCGTTGTCACCACTGTCCGTTTTGTGTACGAGTTGGGGGCGCTGCCATGCCTCCAACCCGACAAGACCCAGCTCATGGACACCGTCCAAGGCGATGGAACCCCCGGCACAGGTGCGCTTTCATCGTGTCGCCTTGTCGACGCCTGATGGCATGGCGTCAGGCATGGTCAACATCAACTGCGCGGGGTCGACCTTGATGGGGCAGTACGTGTCGGTGGTCGGGACCCGCGAAGATGCCGTGTGTTCGAACCACGGCCAGTGCGACACTCAAGTTGGTGTGTGCCGGTGCGATCCGTTTTTCGCCAGCAGCGACGGTCTTGGCGGCCCCGGCACGCGCGGCGACTGTGGCTTTCGCACGCACTTGGCCAAAGGGTCAGGCGGCGGCAGCAGCAGTAGTTGAGGGTTGTGGCTCCTCGTAAACGCTCCCAGTGCATGTGTCGATGTGGCCGACTCCGGTTTGTTGGAATCGATCGCACGATGCAGAACGCCCCCGATTTCGTTGGCCGACCGACCTGCTGCGGCCGTCCTTTGAACACTCGCACGCAGGACGCTGCTGATGGGCTCACAGGAGTGGAGCTGCACACGCTTGATCAAGCTGAGGTATATGGCGCGTGCAGCTAGCTGTGGGCAGTCAACATTCTATGGTACTGAAAACGGGTGCATTATCTCTCTGAACGAGGTGGCAAGCGACTCGCGGAGATCGTTCGGTGGTCAGGGTGCCGCTTCCGCCTCTCGGTCGTGGGCTCGACGGGGAAGACATGCCTCCACATCTCAGCGATGCGCTCGATGGCGGCAATCGTGCGTGGTATTTTGCTTTTGGACAGGGGGAACGCCGGGGCCGTCGCCGACGGGGCGTCGCAGTACTCTTGGAGGGCTGCCGCCCACGCATGCATGCTCGACTTGGACAGCGCCCCCAACACAATCGTGCAGTTGTTGTCGAATTGCAGCCGCACCCGCCACACACTCGTGACGCGGCGGCCTGTAAACACCGTCGCAGCGACCGACGCATCGACGCGGTTGCAGTGCCGCACATTCAAACAACTCGTCAACGCTCCATTGGGCGCCGTGTAGAACCGCAGCATGCGGTCCATGGACAACTCTACGTACCGCACCGACCAGTGAACCTGGTTCGACGGCGTCGTCGGGACATGGCCAAAGTGGCGGGCCTCCATCTGCCCCGTCGAAAACATCAAGCCGCCACGGATGACCGTGTCGTCGCCACGAATATGGTCGGGTTGGTGGTGGTTGGGAAGCATGCCGCCAGTGCTCGAACAAGGGTTTCAAAGGTATATCTGCAAACCTTTCACTCGCGATGGTCTTGCCGCCCCTACCACCCCCCCCGAGCGTCGTGATGGGCTATTTTCGTCCCTTGAACTTGCGCGCGTTTGCCCTTTCAAACGGCCAGCGCCGACGCTCTGTCGGCGGCGGCGTGGCTCCATGCAAGCCTCTGTGCATTCGCCCTGCCACCTAACTTTCTCCAGGCGACGGACGGGGAGGCTGGCTTATGTTCACCGCAAGTTTCGTTCATCCAGGGTTACACGTAGGACGAATGCCTCGGCACGACAAGCCGCCCACCTATTGTGCACCTTAGATATTT